CTGCAGATCTTCACAAAATGCCTGCTGGCCTGCCTCCCACTCTGTTGCTCTCCCATCTGAACACTTTCTTGTTCCATGGATTATGGAACTCGCTGTGCCCGTCTTGATAAATGCTGCTCTTGTTGTGACCTTTTAGAGCCAGCCTGGCTTCATGTCCTGCTCATCTTCCAAAGATGTCAGTGAGCACGAATGGGGCAAGGAGAGGCCTTTTCTTCGCACATAATAGCAGAAATCTTGAAGTCTGAGGGAAATGGAGACGAGGAGCGTTCACACATGCAGGTGACATCTGCATTGTGAAAGGAGCAGAAAGCCCACTCAGGACGACACAGAGGCTGCCACAGTGGAAGTCACCATGAAGCCAGCAGAAGGGAGCACAATGTACCCAGAAGACACACGCAGAAGCAGGAGACCAATGCGAGGAGGCAAGAGCATGAGCTCGCACATCGCCTGTTCCGGACTCCACGTCTCTGGACGCTCTTAGATGCACACTGTCCCTGAAGACAGTCATTTTGCAAAGCCACCTTTGACACCTATACTTACACAGTTTTCATATTTTGAAAATTTCCAAGAAACTAAATTTAAGAGGATATGTAAAAGGCAGTATTAGCACTTTTAGCCACCACTTTTCACTCAACATAATACAGCTCAACTGAAATGTTAGGTAATCATTCTCCATAAAATCCACTGGTATAACTGCAGTTACTGCTGTGTAACCAACACTCGCACACACTGCTGTGGCAGAGGGTGAAACAGCCTCATTCACAGCCCTCACGTTCGTGAGGTGCCTCTGTAGCTGCAGAGACAGCAGTTCTGCTCGGCCACAGAGGATGCTGCTGGGGTGCAGAATCTTCTCAGGGCAGAATTCAAATGCTGGGGACAGAAATCTGGGCTCCCTCTCAGGGCAGCGAGGCTGCCTCTCCCTGTTGTCCATCCACAGCAGGTCTGCTGGCCACCTCTGGCATCAATCAAAGCCTCTTGGAGCTCTTGTCCATGTGTGGACACTAATCTCATTTCCTAATTCTTACACAGCAATGCCTTGCTAATACAAAAGGTGCTTTCATAAGGCATGAAGAACTCTGCTCGCATTTTTCAAAGAGGCTTGCAAACATAACATGAGCACCATCACATGATCACTGAAATAAGCCGGTGCATCACTGTAGAGGGCCATCCGCGGGATGACTTGTTTTAATTGCTTGTTTTATGAAGCCATTCTATGCTCTCTCTCTAAAGGTCAAACTTATCCTCACCTGACAGATGTACCCTATTTCTACTTACACTTAGTTGGTCTAGAAACCTACCGCAAAGGATCCTGGAAGCTTTCAAATCAGTGCTTTATTATTTCCTCTCCTTCATGAAGGAAAAACCCTCCTCTGAAAGAGATGCAAAGTTAACAGCATCTTCATCTGACGCCCTGCGCTGTGCTGGATGTAGCTGATGTTGGGGACGACAAAGCAGCCAGAGGCCTGTCACTCGCTGCTGGGGACCCCTCTGCACTCAGGATGCTGGGCCCTGGGCCCCAGCTGCACGCCGGCCTGCTGCCCCCCTCTCTCACACCCACCTCAACCCCCACCAGCCTGCCCCAGCACTCAGACACCCCAAATCTAGCAGGCGCTAGGCTATGCTGAGGTCAGGATTTCCTGATGAGAGGGGCGTCCTAAAGTCAGTGGCTGTAGCCCGCACTATGACAGACTCCTGCAGAGGAATTCTTATCTAATGTCCTAGTTTTTGGTCCTATCAAAAAGAGATTCTCCTGGGATTTGTGCTTCCCCAGAGGCGAGAGTGGGTGCTGGGACCCTGCACCTGACCCAGCTGGCACTGCCCTCCGGGGGCTCCCTGTGCCCCAGCCTGGCCTTTCCTCCCCCAGTACCTCCTTCTCTGGCCTTTTGGAGCTGAGAGAGATTTCACAATGGTGATCTTTGGAGCTCACGCTGAGACTGAGCTGGATTTTGAACTGGGGCTTGGACAGGAGCGGCTAGGTGACAGGGTCAGCTGAGAAAACAAGCAAACAGCAAACGGTTTAAAAACAAATCTAGGCACATGCCAAGGCGTTTCAAAGGTACACGCTTCCACTGCCGGCTCCCGGGACCCTGGAACTTGCAGCCAGCCGTTTTTCTCGCGCTCGACCCTGGGGCTCAGAGACGCCAGCACCTGCTGCAAAGAGGCCAGGCTGTCACCTCCTTCCCTGGCCCTGGCCCTGGCCCTGGCCCAGCCACTCTACAACGCTCTTGGTGAGCTCCAGCCCAGAGGAACCAGGGTCCTGCTGTCTGGTGACTGTCCCAGCGGGTGCCGAGGCCATGGAGCCCGGAGATGTGCTCATGACTCAGGCCATCCAGCCAGCGCACGCGGATGCCCGTGGCGAGCTCAGCGCAGGGCAGTTGCTCAAGTGGGTAGATGCCACAGCCTGCCTGGCAGGTAGGAGGGACCCTGGGGTGGGTGGAGGGGACCCAGGGACAGGGGTAGGGGACATGGAGGTAGATGACTGGGCAGAGGATGGGGTAGAAGGGAAGAGGGAGGGAGCACCCTGGAGGAGCAGGCCAGCTAACGCGAAGGGCTCACTTCTATGTGAGGAGTTAAAGCTTTAGCAGTTGGCACCTGGGAAATGCAGATGTGAGTGCAGAACCTAGGGACACAGGAGCCGCCACAGTTACGTCATGGAACTGAGGTTCCTAATACCAACCCTCCCAAGCCACCAGTTCAGGTTCTTGTCCCTGGAGTAGAGGTGTTGTCAGAAAATACAGTTGGTGTTTACCCCAAAACTATTACACCAAAAGATGCATTGCCAGGGGACCCCTGAAGCCCCCCACACCTGAGCTCACTCAGCCTGTGTCTTCACCACCTTCTGCAGCTCGGAAGGCCTCTTTCCTGAGCCTCTTCAGTTGTGCTGTCCTGGCTGCCTCAGTTGACCTGTATCATTTCAAAGCACTTGCCTTTCCTGATCTTTCCGACTTTGGGGGAGACCTGAAAGTCACAGGTGCCAGATTCAGTGTAAGAGGGGCCTCAGGACACAGAGTCACATTTTTACAAATCGGGCTTTCCACTGGATGGCGTGGGCCAGCGGCATTCACTGTAGTTTTGGTCACATTTCATAAAGACACTCAGGAGAGGGGACTGCTAGAACCGCTTCGAGGTTGGAAGGAATAGATGCGAAGAGGCTTAGAGCAAGGGCAGAGTTTTCCGGAGATTCCTGGCAATGTCTTGCACTGTAGGACATTTAAACTGTCGGCCTGGTCTCCACTCCCCTCACAGCGTATGTTATCACTACAACACAGCTCCCCCGACTAAATTTCTACTGTGATGTACTCAGATTCGTCCTAGGGTTTCCCGTGTTCTTTCATGAAAATAATTACAGAGTGAGGGCAGCCCGCCTGATTCTCACCAGTAGCAGAAGTATGCTCCGAGGAGCTGCAGTGGCCTAGGCTCGTGGAAGTCGCTGGTCTCTTAAAGAATGGTCCACTTTCCAGATCTGCATCTACAGTCAACTCTGTCACCACTCCGCTCTTAATGGTCCCTGGGAGATGCCACTGTGCTCTTGTATTTCACTTTCTCTGTTTTATTGTTGCTTGTTTTTTGTGAGGATTGTGTGTATTTTTGTAATCTAGTAACTTTAGGCTTGAAAGCTCCATTTCTCTCCCAGATAAATTTCTAGTGAGAAATAATAGCCTTGGTAATTTGAAGAGCTAAAGGATAAGGGCTGACAGAACCACATCTACTGGACTATGAAGAGACAGTTCCCAGAAGAAAGAGATTCAGAGGCAGAGCCCCAAAACCCATCCATAATTTTTTACCTCGCTAAGGCCGGAAGAACTGAGATGTGTGCCCACCTCAAAGAGGACAGTCTTGTAGCTTCAGCCAAATGAACTACCTTTCCACAAGATGCTATCATTTATGTCTAGCTGCCCCCAAGCCTCACGCACTCAGGGGTGGGGCTTTGGTGAGGTGGTTATACATGGCAGCCTATTGCTGGCCTGCTGTTGTGAGGTGGCCCTAGTTGGAAGTGGCCTGGAAGGGCCTGTATCCTGCCCGACTCCTCTCTTCCCTCTGCTTCCAGCCCACTCTGAGGTGAGCAGCTTCCCCTCTGCCATGCCATTTCTTCTTGGGGGTAGCCAGATCTTGGACTGAAACATGAGCCCAAAGAAGCCTGTCCTCCCCAAGAGCAGTGGGTGCCTAGTGTCGTGTCTCGGTGGTAAGAGGGTGACACGGGCAGAGAATTGCGCTGGGATCCAGGCTCCATGATGGGTCACGCACATGGCTAGACATGGCCCAGAACTGTTGGACACGAAGAGAGACGGAGAGTCGTGATCCATTCTTCACGGAGACCAAGCTCATGCTGGGATTAAGCTTCAAGGATTTTGTAGTAGCTGTGTTGAAGATGTCATGGAAAACATGATCCTAAGGAATGAAAAGGGACTAAATCACAGAAGAGAAACTATTGAAAATGAAATGCAATAATGTAATACAATATTTGAAATTCAAAAATTCACTGGGTGGTCTTAACTTCAGAATATGAGTCCTGAGAAAAGTGTTCAGAAATGTAAAAATAGATCAGTAGAAATTATCCACTCTTAAGAAAAATTTTAAATGAACAAGGTATGGTAGATTGGGGTAAATAAAAGAGAGGTTTCACATATGGACGGTGCCTTAGTTACATTCCTCAGTGCTAAGACAAAGTATGAAACACCCACAAATAAAAAAGAGGTTGATTTCGGCTCACCGTTTCAGAAGTCTCAGCCCTTACCTGGCTCCCTGACGCCAAGACAGGGAGGTAAGAGGAGGTGCAGGGGAAGCCCCCAGCATGGCAGGCAGGAGGTGGAGAGGGACCGGCCAGGCGGGCGGAGGGGGCCCGTGACTCCCTCCGCCGAGCCTCAGGTGCCGACGCCAGGCCAGCCCCGCTCCCGGCCGCCCCCCACTGCCATCTCTGGCACCAGAGGTTCTGCAGCCCGATGGGAGAGCGAAGCCATGACACAGAGTTCCAAGAAGTAGAGCGGAATTATAAGAAAATAATCCATGTTTTAGTAAATTATAGCTGAAAATTTCAAGAATATGGCGAAAGATGTGCAGATGCAGGTTCAAGGAGCCCGCAGAACTCCAGCAAGATTAGTGCAGAAACACACACCACCACCACCACCACCACCACCACCTCCACCACCTCCACCTCCACCAGCCCCCCGCTGGGCCCCTTGCGGCCAAGCTGCACTGGAGAGAAATCGGGACAGAAGCAGGAGAAAACCCCGCTCTCTCGGAGAACGACCATTGCAATCACCGGAGACCCCAGAGAGACGGTGAGCGGCACCTCCCGCACCCGGGATCGCAGCACTGGTGGCCTCGCTCCCCTCTTCTCAGTTCCCCGCGTTAGCCAGGGTCCCTCGTCAGAGCCCTCGAGGTCACGGCTGCCCCAGCTCAGCACGGGCCTTCCCGTGGTCCCCACACCGCATCCCTCCCGTCATCCCTGAGTGCTCAGCTCAGCCGCCGCCCACGCATGCACCTTCCCTAGTCCAGTTACGCGCTCAGGACAGACACGTTTTCCTTCCAACACTGATTTCAGTGTTAGGCCACCGTTTAACCCCTGGTCCTTCCCCGACTCCAGGACCCCAGGGCCATGGCCATTTCCCATTTCCAACACCTCCGCAGATCAATCAGTACCTCTTGAAGACGATCACTATTTATATCAATCCGCACCTCATCCGTGCATTACAGTGACTCGGCAAGCCTGCTTTCAAGATTCCCCAAATTAGAAACAGCTCTAGAGTTTTCCTGCTTTTACTGAAATACTTTATGAGTGCCAATAGGAGTCAAGAACCAGAGCGCGGTGGTCCTGTTGAGCTTATAACATTTTATGGATGTTTGTGTAAAAGAACTCACACCTTCTCTTGTGCAAAAGCTCTGCACCCTTTTCTGGTCATCCATCTTTTCTTTCTTTTCACAGTTTTCTTTTTCTTTTTGTGGTATCAGGAATGGAACTCAGGGTTCCACCCCTGCCAGGCAGGTGCTGCGGTGCTGAGCTACGTCCCTGCCCCTTCCACACTCTTCTGAGAATTTCTGCTACTTCTGCAGTCAAAATCACCATTGGAAAAATGTAGTTCATCTTTCTACGCCTAAATGTCCCCACTGATCGATCTCATGCGGCTAACGTGCATGAGTACTCAGCTCCGCGCCTGGCCGGCGTCGAACGCTCCTTGCGTGCACCTCTTTCTGCTCCATCCTTTGTACAGGCGGGCGCTGTCGTCCTCCACACCCGCAGAAGGTGCCCAATAGATGCGATGCAATGCAGCCTCTCGTCGGCCCCTGCATTCTTATTATCACTTTAGTCATTCGAAATTGGCAACTCACGTCGCTGCACATGGCAGCACTTTGTTAATAAGAGCACTTTAGTGACCTCAGTGTACCTCTCCCTCATTCTCGGGCAGCTGGGGTGCATGTGACATGGGTGCTCTTCCATCAGAGTTTCTCAGCAAGACCTGCAAAGGATCAGTAGTCACCTGGAAAACTTAAGCTGTACAAGGATCTGCAAGAAAGCAAACTGACCAGCCACCACCAGCCCCACTGACTAAGCTCGATTGGTAGCTCCCGCTGGTGAGAAGCGGCCCGAAGCAGCTCAGTGCTAGCAACCAGCTGGACCCTAAGACATGCCGCCGGCACACCTCGCAGCCACCTCGCGCTCTCCCAGTCCGGCACCACGCTAGTTCCTCCTCCCCTGAACTTTCAGGCGGAGAGCCTACCTTGCCCGCACTGCTTCAGAGTGCTGTGAGGAGTGGCTTCCCAGTAACTCAGCTCAGGTTACTGCGCACTTGAGAGAGCTGCTGCCAACTCCTAAAGTCAGAATGTCCACTTCCTGCCAGAATTAGCCCCTGGGGAGGAACGTATTGAGTAGCTGTCTCTGCTCACCTCGCTCTCTGGGCCGTTTACTAGTCCACTACACACAGGAATAAAAGTTCAGGGGAATTTGCTCCCCTTCCATAGCATGCCCAGGAGTGAAGTCTCCAACGGTAAAATGAGCTTCACCATTCTTTAAAAGCCAATATATTCAGTTTGGATTTTAACCATTTCTCAAAATGAAAACAATGTAGCAGAAGTAAATAGTATAAACTCTTGTTATTTGTATAAAGGAAGACTAGCAAGCAAACAAGTCTCCTGGGCAGAGGGGCTGCAGAATAGGGCCTGGGGAAGTGCTCTATAGCCCCTCCTCACCCCTGCTCTCGAGAGTGCTGTCATCTTAGCAACAGCTGAGAGACATGAAGAGCTCCTGGGTGCCCATTTCTCTCTGACACTGGAGAAGTCTGTGACGTGGAAGGCGACCCCAGTCTCGCCCACCTCCCATGGTCCCTTCAGTGTACTTTGCGACCAGTGGTGGGAGACAGTGAATTCACCTCAGAAGCTGGGTTTTAAAACAAAGGGAGCTGAGACCTGCCAAAATATTATAGCCGGCCTCTGCGTGCTAAAATTCCCACTTACAGTCACCAGATTTTGTAGGTACTGTTACTGAAATTCAGATAAAGATTGTGTAAGTTAAAATCTGGGGGAAACATAGTGATCACGTAGTAGCAGCGTATCCCCCGGAGCCAAGGAACTGTTGGAATTCGGGGCACCTGGGAGAGCAGGCACAGGGGCTGGCACCTGGACACAGTCGGTGTAGCATCATGGTCCTCTCGCTGCCGCTGGCGGCCGTACCCGAGCCCTGGCCTAGCAGTCTTTGCTCTTCCTTGCAGCTGAGAAGCACGCGGGAGTTTCCTGCGTCACGGCCTCAGTGGACGACATTCAGTTTGAGGAGACCGCGAGGTAAGTGGCTGTCCTCTCTCAGGCCTCTCTGCTCATTTGTGACATCTGTGTGGCACATGGTTGTTTGGGGCCGGTGATCCATGTGCTAATAAAATGAGTAACATTTGAAGCAATCTCCACTCGTCAGAATAGAACCACAGGGCCCTCTTGTAGACAGTCTCGCAGGTACAGGGCCTGTCGGCTTGGTTGAGAAGGAACTCAGACAGGCTGAAGCACAGGGCAGGCATCGCAGCTCTCAGCTGCCCGATCCCTGACGCTTCCTCTGTCGCCGCCGGAGAATCAGTAAGGGCAGAAGGCCCCTACTGCAGTGAATCCGCCCTGAGCTTCTGGGTAAACGCTGATTGTCTGCACAGGATAGCCAATCACGGAAAACCTTCTGCAAGCGAGAGTGTTTTGCTAACTTAGAGTAAAAACCTTCAAGGTCAGTAATTCAGACCTAGAAGGAATGATCAAAATAGGCAGTGAATTTTAAAATTAAAAATCTGTGTTAAAGTACAGTGAATGACATACTACCATTAATCCCCTTCAAATATTAAAATACATAACAATAGAGAGAACAGCATGGTGTAAAAGACCGGGTTTGTTTTTTAGAGAAAACGTAATATAGCTTATAGTCACTGTTTTTGGAAGTTGCCTGCTACAGCCCTCTTCCTGTGGTTACACCTCTAACTCCGCTGCACTGAAGTTGATTCGCTGCTGTGCAGGCTCCTTTTCACGTAAGTGTAGTTTGTCTTAAAGTGTAAAGCACGTAAGGGTCAAGGCTGGAATCTGAAACAAGACACATGCGACCCCGGGAGCGTTCACTTCTACCCAGCCTTCAGCCAGGGCCCTCCCTCCCCTGTAAGTCAACATTTTATTTGTTTTATGACTTATCCATTTATTTTTAAATTTTAAGCAAATATTTAGATGTACTGATAGCCTTTTAAGACTAATTTCAGCACTCTACATATGTGATTCTCCACATCGCTTTTTTCACTTAATATCTGGAAAATCACTCTGTAGCAGAGTAAAGAGGTGCTCGCCATTTTTTATTAGCTACCCAATACCGCACCACATAGATGCTGCTTGGGGTTATGTCATAGAGAATCCCCAACACTCATGCATCCAGTGTCTCACGAATGACACCCAAAACTTGCATGTATTTGAAGGTGACGTATCCTGGGTGGGGCCTCACTGGTGGGTGGAGGGGCCCAAGTCAATCTCGCCTCCTTCAATTTGTGGCTGTCTGTGATGGGTGCCCTGGCTTTGTAAGAATGTTTATATCCTGCCCAGCTTCTGCAGTCCCAGTCCACAGTGGGCTTGTGCTGATGTAGTCTGTATTTTTTGCCTGTGTATTTTAGGATGGAATCCTAAAATAAGATTTCTATGTCAAAGGGCAAAGGCGTGTTGTTTTACTAGACATTGCCAACATCCTCTCTGTGGGATTTGTCAATGGATCCTCTCACGTTCCGCACTAGTAAGACAAGGCTAACAACAACTACGATTGTGCTGTAGGAGGGCTCCTACCTGCAGCCTAGGAACTGGTCCCTTAACGCATACCTGCAGGGAAGGACAAAGCCCTCCCTTCCGTCTTCTGGCTGAAAGGCTAGACTTTGACAGGTGAGGGACACAGTAGCAGGGCACAGGCAAAGCCTCAGTCAGGCGAGGGCATTGCTCAGGGGAGCCGGGCGACTCACGGGGAGCCTGGGTCACACACACCTGGACCAGTGCTCGCGGTGCTGTGCTAGGAGGCCAAGGGAGGGAGTGTTGTCGGGTTCTCAGGAGCCCGTACACCCGGGGGTGGACTCTGGCCTGGTGCCGCTGCCTACCCTTCAAGCCCATTTCCTAGTGTGAATGAAGCGGGTGATAATGCCTGCCCTGAAGGACCCTGCTTGGCGAGTGATGCATCGCTAGATGTGGCATGAAAGAAGCACTCAGCACAGCACCTAGTGTACATGCTGCATGGGTGATGGGCAGCTACTGCGCTGACTCACCGCCCAGGGCAGGAGTGCTTCACTCGGCTGTGGACAGGGCGGTTGTTGTTAATGAGCTGTCAATAATTCTTTTGTAATCCATTAGACTTTCTCTGCTTATAAACCAGTGACCCAAACACTGGCCTCTGAAGGCCTAGTCAGGATTGTTACTGTACCTTATACCCAAGCCCAGCCCTAAGGCTGATCCTAACTCAGTGAATATTTGGTAAATATAGGAGTTGGACAAAACAATGATTCCTTTAGGATGCTTTGAATATGAACAGGAGAAAAAAAATCTCATAATAGAATGGATTTAAGGGAAAGGTTTCCAGGAGGAAATGCCTGGAATAATTCAAAGACTGAAGAGGTTCAGAGAAGGAGGAGGTGGAATGAGGGAAGAGGTGGCCTGCAGACCAGAACATTGGTCGAAGGCAGGATTCTGGGAGGGTCGGGGTGAGGATGCAGGTGACGAAGGAGATAAGGTCTCTCTTTTGGTATCAGGAATCAAACTCCAGAGACGGGGTCTTGAGAGGATCTACCTTTCTTCCCCTGAAAAAGAAGACTGCATAAGACAGTGTGACTTTAAGCTTTTTTAAAAACAATATTTGGTACAGGGTCTCACTACCCAGCTCAGACTCATAGTGGTCCTCCTGCTTCAGCCTCCTAAGCACTGGGATTACAGGCATGAACCACCACACCAGGTCTCAGTCACTGGCTGAGCTTGCCTGGGGGTGGGGCTAGTGTGTCATGGGGTAACAGGGGGTCAAACCCCTGTCTCTGCACTTGCCTAAGCAGGCACTTAGTCTGCTGAGCTATCTCGCCAGCCCAGACAGTGCAAATTTGACGTTAAGGAAGAAACAGTGAGGGGGCTTCAACTGGGAGACTCTGACTTCTGCTTTGCTGACGGGGTCAGAAGTGACTGGGTCATGGAGCAGCATCCAGGCCTGTAAGCCTGGGGAGGCGGATCAGCTTGCTAGCTCGCTTGCTTGTACATTGGCTTATCTATTTATTTACTCAGTAACATTTAAAAGTGTCCGCTGCTGCTTCTCTGGAGCCTGTTGATCATGGGCCGAACCCTCTCCTCCTTTACGCTGTGCTCTTGGGAACTGCATCTCTGGAGAGAACGGAGGGCGATTGTCAGTGGCGCTGCCGATGGCTCACACACTTGCATGCTTCTTTACTGTGAAAGGAAATGTGCTGAGAAGGCTGAGTTTTGTGTTTTCCTTTTTTATCAGAGTTGGGCAAGTTATAACCATCAAAGC